ACTACTCATGGTAGATCGATCTGTCCCCACGATTTACAAAATTGAACTTCTCGTAGTAGATAGATCTGTCGGCGTTGTTGAATATGTTTGTTATTTTACTTTATAGTTCACTGGTTCCTCGCGAATGATTGTAAAATAGTGTTGTCGAAGAGGTTGTCAAAGAGACAGTGGACAGAATAGGTCAGCAATTTCACGTTACTTGATAAATATTAATACAAACAGGGGTAGTCAGTGGTAGAATAAAGCTTAATTTACCACATGGGTTACTGCATTGACATAGGTAACCTGTTGTACCTTCAACGTAGAGTCATGATATCAGTTTAGTATAGTCCTTAATTTACTACTCTGGCTAACTGTACATACATGGGCAAGTTGTGGTACATTTGCTGTCCATAGCATTACATTGGAAATTTAATCTATAACATAATTATGATCTGTATTACATCGTTTAAAAGGAAAGTATGAAAACACAGTCTTTTGTCTACTTATCTACCACGCCGACATACACCTTGGGCGTGGAAAGGCATTGTTACATTTGATATATGGTCATGTGAAACTACATTCAAAATATAGGATACGAATAAGTATATCTTCCAAGGCATCAGATGATATGTATAGTTCTGCATACCTCATGCTAGGTGGTCTTAAAGGCAACACATGACACTGAGATATAGTGTACGTGTTCGCTTATATTCTTCATTACATAGTTTATATTTTCTTCGTAAACCGGTCATAGCGCTTTATGCTACAGCTTTCAGGCCGTTGAGAATTAACAAATTTAGTCAAGTCCGCTCTGACTGAAGTTTTAATGTGTAAAATCCTGTGAAAAAGTGCTCCAAGATCTATATCACACTTTGCGTGACACATGCTGACTCTGCTAGGCGATCAGCATGACCATGCATAGGAATTTTATCCTGGTGTCATTTGCAACCTTTGTCTAGAGTGTTCAGAGTCCGGAGAGCACTCTGTGAGTAGCAGAAGATGACCCCTGAACCTTGATGCAATAGAATTTCTGTGGCCTTGTATTGAAACCTGGGTTTAAACTCCGTAGATTAATATAGCTTTGATATAAGAGTGAAAAAGTAACGTAAAAATTATGAGCTAAACTATTGTTCGTGCCTTGTATTAGCTTTCTTTTATATTATAGCACCTTATTTTCATCATTCTTTTAAACCCAAATGCCAAACCCCTAATCACCATATTGAGTGTCACAGTTCGATATAAAAGAATCGTTTAAATGAAATATAAAATTGCAAGGTTGATATTCCGACAACACACACACGACATAGTGATGCTAAAGCCAATCGTGACTGTGATTTTCCATAACATGACTTTACAGCAAATGACTTTCCAGAAATTGATCTCTAATTAACCTGCAAGGACAAAAGCAAAAGGATTTATTGACATGTTGACTTATTATTCACGAGAGAAAATAATTTGATCCGCTACACTTACTGTTGAAATAAATTTTGCACAATAACATACAGCAACGACTGACACTGACTAGTAATCTTTCCAGGAAAATAACATAAGATGAATTTTTGAAGACCTTTTTTTTCATTGTTTTTATCTTTACTTACCGTAATTTTCGAAATAGCTCTGATTTGCCTTAATCACGAAATTCTATTTTGAAATGGTAGCAATCGACGTGTTCTAAGAAGCAGAATTGTGATAATTTCTGAGTGGGAAGAAATTATTGCATAAGTGCCAGAGGGACTCGTTGGTTAAACAGAAAGTGTATCTGTCCTTAACTGGAATGGATGTTTTTTTTATATATATTTTTTTTTTGTTTAAATGATATAAAGAAAACATTGAAATTGGTAATAGATATATGCACTCACTCTTAATGGAAAACAAACAAAGAAACAAAATTTACAGAAATAAGCGGCATCTGTTATCAATCTACTTGTTTGTCAGTTTTCAGAATTACGGGAAGGCGAAAGCGTAACAAGCAACCACTTTTATATGAAATGGATATTGTATGCGTGAATAAGAAAGAAAGAAAGGAAAAGAATAATACCCAAACATTGTGTTAAATGAAGGCTATGCTATTACGAATATCCATTTATTTTAAAAGAAATGTCAGAAGGTTGCAGTGAAGGCATAATCATTATTTTTTAGCTTCCGAATTTTCGTACAAAGTAAAGTAATGACATTATAGATTGCTCAGTCGTATTTGTGCTACCAAGACTTTAGCGTTAATTTATTCAAACATATACATTCACATATACACTCAAGCACATATTCACTTACTCTCTGAAGCACATATTCACTTACTCTTTCAAGCACATATTCACTTACTCTCTCAAGCACATACTCTCTCTCGCACATCATTACTCTCTCAAGCACATATTCACTTACTCTCTCAAGCACATATTTCACTTACTCTCTCAAGCACATATACTTAGTATATTCACTTACTCTCTCAAGCACATATTCACTTGCTCTGTCAAGCACATATTCACTTACTCTCTCAAGCACATATTCACTTACTCTCTCAAGCACATATTCACTTACTCTCTCAAAGCACATATTCACTTACTCTCTCAAGCACGTATTTACTTACTCTCTCAAGCACATATTCACTTACTCTCTTAAGCACATATTCACTTACTCTCTCAAGCACATATTCACTTACTCTCTCAAGCACATATTCACTCTCTCAAGCACATATTCACTTACTCTCTCAAGCACATATTCACTTACTCTCTCAAGCACATATTCATTTACTCTCTCAAGCACATATTCACTTACTCTCTCAAGCACATATTCACTTACTCTCTCAAGCACATATTCAGCTATTCACTTACTCTTAAGCACATATTCACTTACTACTCTCTCAAGCACATATTCACTTCAAGCACATACTTACTTCTCTCAAGCACATATTCACTTACTCTCTTAAGCACATATTCACTTACTCTCTCAAGCAACATATTCACTCTTCTCTCTCAAGCATATTCACTTTCTCTCCAAGCACATATTAACTTACTCTCACATATTCACTTACTCTCTGAAGCACATATTCACTCTCTCAAGCACATCACTTACTCTCTCAAAGCACATTTCACTTACTCTCTCAAGAACATATTCACTTACTCTCTCAAGCACATCTTCACTTACTCTCTCAAGCACATATTAACTTACTCTCTCAAGCACATATTCACTTACTCTCTCAAGAACATATTCACTTACTCTCTGAAGCACATATTCACTTACTCTCTCAAGCACATATTAACTTACTCTCTCAAGCACATATTCACTACTATTTCCTTACTCTCTCAAGAACATATTCACTTAAGCACATATTCACTCTTCAAGCACACTTTCTCAAGCACATATTCACTTTCTCTCTCAAGCACATATTCACTTACGCTCTCAAGCACATATTCACTTACTCTCTCAAGCACATATTCACTTACTCACTCAAGCACATATTCACTTACTCTCTCAAGCACATATTCACTTACTCTCTCAAGCACATATTCACTTACTCTCTCAAGCACATATTCACTTACTCTCTCAAGCACATATTCACTTACTCTCTCAAGCACATATTCACTTACTCTCTCAAGCACATACAATCGCGTATTTCACACACAACACACATATACGGTCGTTCACAAGATCAACACAAACACACGTCCTTATTAATACAGACACATACACTCAGCTATCATCGCGAGTGTACTTATATACATAATGTATTTTATGACTGTACCAAAACCCTAAATTACTGTTATTACTTCAATTCCCTTAGACAAAAACTAAGAAATTCGGGGCGGTGATTCTGACAAAAACACGAAGACAAAAAAAACTTGGTCCAGGTTATTATCCAATATATCTTCTTTTTTTTTTTTTTTTTTTTTTTTTTTTTTTGGATTCACCTGAATATACATCCGTTTGTTTATGGGTACCTGTCAATATATATCTTTGCTTATAAGTATATATCCATACTATTAATCATTTCCTATATATTGTTGTGCAGCTTTATTTCTTTGACCTTGACTCTGTCTGGTAGTCGGTTCTCTTGTCTATGTATGTATGTGTCTTTCTACGTGTCATCCTGTTCATATATGTATGTATCTCTCTCTCTCTTTCTCTGTCTTTCTCTCTCTCTCTCTCTCCCTCTCTCTCTCTCTCTCTCTCTCTCTCCTCTCTCTCTACTCTCTCTCTCTCTCCTGTGTGTTGTGTTCATATGATAATGAAAGTATTTCTCTAAGGACAATATTATTTAACTCTAAATCCTATGCTCATACGCAATATCTTTAATGACACCATTACAAACCATTTTCCAATTTACTTTAACACTGAATCATCACCACCATCACTATCATTACTACCATCATAATTTCTATCAACGAGCTTCTATGCAATGATCATCATAAACATATTCATGACCACACGATAAAGAGCTAGCTTTTTTTTCATGCTCATTATTTTCACCAAACCGATCGTTACCAACACAAAATACAACACAATCTTCCTTTTGCTAACCATATGGCCCCAGCTGGTAATAGTCACTTGTATTCATGGGTGGGAACTGATCAATACTTGCCACGCTACATCAACAAGCGACAGGTTCACATCGCTGTTTGGAAGGTCAGACTTGGGCAGTGTGTGTAATCAGTAGTTTGCTGTTATTTCAGGCATTATTTGTTTGTTGTTGTTTGTTGTAGTTGTTATTATTTGATTATTGTGATTATTATAATTTTATTGATTATATTATTACTTATTATTATTAATAATAATACATAAATATATACCATTAATATTGTTATTATTAATATTATTTATATCATAATTATCATCCTTATCATTATTAATATCATTATTATTATTATTGTTATTATTATTTTCATTATCATTATTGTTATAATAATGTTATTATATAATTGTTAATTGCTATTATCATTACAATCATCATCATCATTATAACACATAGTGTACATGTATTCATATATATGGACATACATTTGCATATATATCTATGAGATATA